TATTTGAAAATGACATTGTAATCAAAATCTTATCTATCTGATCTTTCATAACCCCACCCAGGGAGCTGAGGTGAGTTGAGAATTGCACCTTTCTTACAGTTTCATGTTACTCAAAGGGCAATATGAATACAAATTTTCATAAATTCCCACTTAGTGGACTTAGTGGAGTATGGGATGTAGTAATAGACAGATGGATGGAGAGTATCAAAATATCCCCAATTAAATCAATGATGGATTCATGTTTTGAAACCCTAGCTATCTGACGATCTATATTATATTTACAACATCTGTATGTTGTATCAGTTGTCAGGTAACCAAATAATTGATCCATACTTTTACCTGTTGTCAGGATCTCAATCTTATGTTGGAGATATGTCTGTTGATTTGTCATAAGTGATGTTATATTCATTGATAAAATTAGACAATAACTCTAACAATTGTCTTCTTTCGTTTTGTGCAAGCACTTTTACATTCTTGTTTTCAGTATTTGTTTTACCTTTCTATTAAAATTATTTCATTTTGTGATTTTTTTTCTTCTTTTTCTTTTTTTTTTTTTTTGTATGTTCCTTCTGGTTTGTTTCTTAGATATTTCTTTTCATGCATTGCTTATGTCATTCAGTCACTACACTTCACATTCTTTGCCCATGCATATTTGGAGGAAAGCTATGTAATTATACTTGCAAACCAGCAATGGGTGACTGCCATTGAAAATCAATACTGTTTGCATAAACCATTTTGTATGGTGAATAAACCGATATTTCAGTCTCCTTGTCTTTGATTTGCTTTCATTCATTATCACAAACCAAATGCTCTTCAGGAACTAACTGTAAATACTAGATACTTTTCTATATTAGTCATTACAAAAATGACTGTAATGAGTTATAATAATGTTTGCATTTTTTCACAGATAAACTTTTTTTTGTTTATTTTAGTAGTATGGTAGATATGTCAGTATCTGAAAGTAATATTTACTTTCTAGGTTAGAGGGAGTAAAAGGACAGTCCAAACAGTCGTTTCCAAAACAATAAGATCGCAAAATTCCATGAGGCTACCCAGCTGAAGAGGTTCCAGACCTCCATGCAACAAAAGTGGCATGTGTGCCTCTGTGACATTGTAGATATGCTAAAAGAGACGTGTAATCTGAGAAGTCCATAACACATGGCCCCCTTATTCTGTCAATGCTAGAAATAATGATTTCATTTCTAGGGTTTTGATTATGATGGACAATTTGTCTAGAGTCCAAGAACCATTGAGAATAATGGCTGTAATTAAGCACCCCAACTGGAAATCTGAGTCATCAGCAAATAAATTAGAGTGGGGATTGGGTGAGTGCATGGGAACCCCTACCAGGAATCTGCCATGATTTATTCACCAAAGAACATGGTGAAAATCTGGGCCTATAGGGATCATGGTTGATAGAGAATTTCAGTGTGATTTTCACTTTGCAAAAAGGACGAATTGTAGAGGGTGCATATGGAGACATCCTAAAGAACCAATTGGCAGTGACGTTCAAGGATCAGATTAGGGTAATACAAAGGCAGGCATATAACAGGATTATGCTCGTAGTGTCTCTACGAAAGCCGGGATTCGATCTACCCAATGCAGAGGAACACAAATTCATGAGGAAATTCATCCCGACATAAAGTCTTAAGATGGATCAAGTTTTGTCTTCTAGAGGTTGGGTAAGAGATAGAATTTAGTTATGGTGGACCAAGAGCAGAAAAGATCTTGATGAAAGGACTAAACATGGACATGCAAATCAGTCGTCAGAATAGTGGAGAATCGATGTCCCCATTTTCGGAAGTAGGCTGCTACAACTCCCATGATATGGCTGAAGACTGGGTGAGGAAGAGATTCCAAACTACAGAATCCAGAATTGAAAACTTTCTGGTTAGGCAAAACGGAAATATGCACTGTGGAAGGGGAAAAAATTGGGATGTGCAAGTGAGCGTCCTGAAGGTCAGTGGAGATGGCCCAATTTAAATGGACGTTGTTTCTTTGTCACCAGGAAGATTTGGGATTACGAGGGAGACTGATCACTCGATACCCTTATAATGCCCGTTTCTGCAAAAGGGTGTGCACCACTTCCTTAGTTTAACCCGATTGGACTAGGGAAAAAATTGGGGTCCTTGATATAGAGACTTTTTACTGCTTTACCAAGCTCCTGAGAAGAGGCCTAGACGAGCAACTACTGGGAAATGCGGGTAGGAGACGGGTCAGTTTGCAAGGGCTCTTTTCTTCTCTCCCTTCCTATGGTAGGAAAGAAATGATGATAAGAGAGCTTTCTCTTGAATCTACGGCGACCTAGGCGCCATGGACCTGATGTGGGAGGAGATAGTCCAGCAGAAGTTTGGTGATTAAGCTGGGGTTGCGTATTCTTGAAATATTTTGCATATGGCCCCAGGGAGCGATATGCCTGATCTCGTTTCCTGGTCGATTGTGTTGGACCGGGAGTATTGATGAAAGATTGATGTTGGTGATCCAGTAAGTATCGAGAAGCCATGGTAGGAATGAGGCCTCCAAAGAGGGCATATCTTAGATGGCCTTCACTATGCTTAAACAAGACTTTCGAGGAGTCCAATGCAGCGTCACGGCGGATATGCAGCAAGTCCGCCAATAATGGCCACAGCATCAACTCCACTTTGGTTGCATCGGCGTCCAAAGGAGGAGTTTGATAGGCCACTTCGAGAAATGTACTCGGTAGCTAGAAAAGAAATAAGGAGTCTTAACGTTGAGGGAGGAACAATCCGGCTATGTTTTGGCCGTGCTACAACCTCTCGACGTGAATAGAGTGTGTACCGTCATGATCATTGTCAAGAATGCACCGAGTTGGAGAGTGGCTGGGCATCACTATGCCCCTTGATGGAAGGGGTATAGAAGCACTGCGCCACGGTCCTGTGGGTCTTCATTAGTTACAGAAGGTATACGAGAATGTCTGTGCATAAGGATTCTGTGCACCCGACGAAACTCGGAGGCAGGAATAATAGCTTTATTACATAGAATTTGGATGGTTGTGTGTGTAATGATGAGAGTGCAGAATGTCTCTTCGATCGCTTTAATTAGTATTAGAATATATTCCCCAATGGAGCCTTTGGGGTGAAACGAAATGCTTTGAGCTCGAAAGCAATTCTACCCCAGGGAGAATTCAGATATACGGATAGTTTCGCATCACTTGCAATCTGAAGCAATCTGCACCCGTACAGAAATGTGATGTCATGCTAAATATCTGCTCACGGATCAAGCAACCGAGGTACATGGTTATAATGTCAACGGATCAACGAGAGCGAGTGTGTGTGTGTGTGTGTGTGTGTGTGTGTGTGTGTGTGTGTGTGTGTGTGATTGCTTCAGATTCTAATTTCATTATATGTTGTTCTGCTCTCATATATTTTTCTGATGGTGAGTAGTTGACTTGTTTGTTGTTGGGGGGGGTGTCAATAATATACAACTTGCGACAGCCAATTTTTAAAAGTATAGCATCAAAATACCTAGGATTAAATTGTGTATACAGATCCCCAGTTTACGGATATTTTAATGCAACTATTAAACTAAATAATAATATATGCTTAAAATTCGTTTAGCCATCCTTGTGATGACTTGTAAACTATACAATCATTATTTAAAGTTTTGATATTTTTAATACGTGTTTGTAAAATTGTAACTGGGACTCGTCTTATTTGTTTTATATATTGACTCAGATTACTACTTTATCCCATTCATAAATCCATACTTGTAGTAGCTTATTCGTTACTGGGCAAATTTCACCGTTGGAAGTCGCTCCTAGATACGAACCAAACCCATATATACCACAGACTTGGAAGGTTTACGTTTAAGGCCTACCTTTTGCAATCGAGTAAAAACTTCCTCTAGACGGCTTAGCTCCTCGTCGAAAGTTCTAACGAAAAAAAAATTATACCATCAAGATGTATCAGACCCGTTTTCTAGATGAGCTTCTTGCCTTTAAAGATCAGACTGGCAAACTTAAGTCAAACGTAGAAATCTAAAATATTGACGTCAGGCTGCCAGGCGCGTCGTGCTAAATCTGGCCGTTATCGGTAATGTCGGGGAAATCAAAGAGGCCATCGTGTCGGTTCTGTAAATGACTACATCGACACATTACGAAATCGAAAGTGAACAACTCCCTCTAATTCAACTGATGCAAAAGCCAATCGATGATTGTGATGCTGAGATAAAATAATAGTGGATATAAAGTTCAGTTAAATCAATGCCGTGGTTAGTAACGCTAAATTAGAAACAAATATATATATATATATATATATATATATATATATATATATATATATATATATATATATATATATATATATATATATATATATATATATACTGAACCACCAAAACCAAATCATCGAATTCTTTCTAAGGTAAAAGTTGATAGTTTTTTCATCCCATTGGAGCAATTAGACTTGCTACTGATAGATCAGGATATTGGGGGTTTTTTTGTTGGTTTCTTTCCTTTTTTTTAGTATACTCGTATGCTATCACATGGGATCTCTTTGTATTCAATTAGTTGCACAAAGACAATCATTGGAAGATGATACTGGAACTCTAGAAGATAAAAGATTATAATCTAGTCTTTATTCATGTTAGATCCCATTGATAAATCAAACTTTTACGTTGCTTGCTCGCTTAAGATTAATATGGACCAAAAAAAATGGAAGTATATCAGTCAAATACCATGGATATTGCGGTATTAAACGTCTTAAACGATAGTTTGAGCTTAAGATTAAATTTATCATTTTATATACGTAATGGATTCTGAACAAGGTGATGACGTTGCAGAATTTAACGACAGGGTGCTGAATCAGATGGAAGCGGATGTTAACATTGGTAGTGATTTTGTTCCACTTGTCCACGAATATGTCTCAAACCTTTAACATTACTAGACACTCGTATACACCGAAATAAAATCTTGTTAAAGGCCAAAAAGAAACAAACCGCTGGGACCACCCTGATGTAACAATACCAAATTGGTGCCTACCGCCGCGATGGTCTAGTGGTTAGAGCTTCCGCCTCGGGTGCGGAAGGTCGCGGGTTCAAACCCCGGCCGAGTCATACCAAATATTTTACAAAATGGTACTAACAGCTGCCTCGCTTGAAGCACAGCATTAAGAGGACTGTCGGCCTGGTGTCAGGATAATGTGACTGGGTGGGACATCATGTTACGTGTCTGCGGCAATGATGCCCCAGTGCTAGACATCACTATAATCATATATGCTTGTACATATGATATATATATATATATATATATATATATATATATATATATATATATATATATATATATATATATATATGTGTGTGTGTGTGTGTGTGTGTGTTCTTTTATGTTTACAATGTTTTACTCTATATCCATATTTTAATTTAGATGTATGGACGGCTTAGCTCCTCGTCGAAAGTTCTACCGAAAAAAAAATTATACCATCAAGATGTATCAGACACCTTTTCTAGATGAGCTTCTTGTCTTTAAAGATCAGACTGGCAAACTTAAGTCAAACGTAGAAATCAAAAATATTGACGTCAGGCTGCCAGTCGCGTCGTGCAAAATCTGGCCGTTATCGGTAATGTCGGGGAAATCGGTAATGTCGTCTGAAATAAAGAATTCTTATCTTATCTTATAAACTGTCACACTGAAGACATCGTTGCGATATGACTGAAAAAATCGTTAAAGCTACGTTAAAAATATGAATCAGAAATCACGCCTTATTTGATTCCAGCTTGGAATCACTGTATTAGCACGATATTGCACTACCAAGCATGAAAACACGAAGGGATTGTGCCAACAACGAGGAAGTGACAATAACTGCTGAATCCGCCCTGGTAGCATTCCTTATTGATTATGTTGCTCCTACATTGACTCAATGAAGAAGAGCAAAATCTACTGCTATTCAACAAGGCCACATTTTACCATGTAATAGTTTTTGTGCAAATTTGAAGAAAATAATATTATACTTTATATGTTTATTTCTTAGCTATTTTATCTTAATTTTCTTAAGATTTGCATGAAGCATTACAGTCAAAAATCAATACACAGATTGATTAAAGCAGATAATAAATTGAAAAACATTTTTAAAACAAATGTTTCAGATTACTCAGTACGGTAGTAAAACCAAAGGAATTTTTTAAAAAATATGATTTAATAACAAGATATGTGAAATATTATGCAGTGGAAAACGAGAATGCTATTAAATAATTGAAACGTTTTTTTTTTTTATATTTTACATTTTTGATAAGAATTATTATAAATCGTTTAATATTTACACGCGTTGAGTATATGCAATCCAGAAGTGATACTCAGAGCTTTTAGCATACCAGGTGTCGAGAGTTGGGACATTTTTGTAAATAGCAATATCACGAATTAACATATGCTCTGCAGTGAAGACATCTTGTTACGACTGTGGTCTTAAGCAAAGTAAAAGAAGAGCTAAAACCAACAAGTTTGATAAATTTCAAAAAAATAATTTATTTCCCTAGAATAAAAAGTGAAAACATAAAAAGAACTCACATGATTGTTAATTACACCCCAAATATTCTATCACAAATCCAAACGTATAGAGTTCCAGCTGAATTTCAGTGGTTATCCAAATAAATTCCAAACTTCAATGTGCCGATATGCCTGTAGTTTCGAATGTTTTAAAGTTAATTTTTCAAAGACCTGTAATGTGGCGATGTGTGAACAGTCTTGATTTTATATATATATATATATATATATATATATATATATATATATATATATATATATATATATATATATCTATATATATATATATATATATATATATATATATATCTATATATATATATATATATATATATATATATATATATACTGACGACGAACAGTGCGAAACTAGTAACTAACTAGTCTGAGTGCTTTCGACTTAGATTGAGTCTTTATCAAAGGCAAATACAAAACAAATAAACACCTGCTGCTGTAATTGAATCGTTGTTATATCAATATTCGTTGGAGAACCACATTCAACTAGATTAGCTCGAGAGCGACTAGAGGCAGTTAAAAAATATCTACCCGTCCGCGATTTTGTCAAACAACAACTACAAGCGCATCAGGAGCCTAAAGGGCAATTTGCAGAAGGTGCAGAGCAATTATTTAAACATGTTACGGAGAAAACTAAAAGCATACTTCCAACGTTAAAGCAAACCGCAGAAGCAACTGGAAAAATAGCAGAAAGAACTAAGAAAACTAAAAAGATTATTAGAGAACTTCTAACTGAAAAAGCTGCTGCTCAACCATTGCGAGAAATACTTGAAGATATTGACTAACCTCGTGCTGACATAGGTGAAAAAAAGATCGTATACCAGAACCAAAGAACAAGCAGGGGTCAAAACTGAATTAAATAGTAATTTTACGAAAAAAGTCATTTCCTACATAAATTAAGCTGACCCAACAAAATTACATGCTATTGCTGTACATAGTTTAAATCGTAGAGAAAAATTATAAAACTCAGTTCGCTAATAATGATTTCTGTCATAAAAACTGGAATCAATGGAAATTTCGTATACATTACGGAGTTGATCAGGCCAGAGATGATGATGAAAGATATGTTGAATTTGTTAAGGGGATAAGTGACTATATTTCATGCCTATCACCACAATTAAAGTAAATAAAACAACAGCAAATACATTTACAATATCATCACCAATGCGACAAAAACAATTTAAAAAACTTACAAGAACGAGAACAACAACGCCAACAACAAATAAAACTACGACAAAGACAAAGGTGGGTAACATGTGAGGAAGAAGAACATGATATATATTTTTTTATCCAAATAAAGTTGTAAGTGGTATTACTACTCAAGGAAGTGGCCTTATTACTTGTCCAAATAACGTCTTTGCAGATGTTGAAAGACTAGAAATTCTCAGTGCAGGAAAAGGAGCTGGTAATAATTCCCCAGAAATCATTAATGAAGCAGCTGATATTGGTAACGATTATATATAGGTGGTATCAAAGATATTAATGTGTATCGGTCTCTCATTAATGAAATCGCAGATGGCTACCACAGTGATTAAGTATGTAATTAGATATAATGGCTGTGATGAAGGAGTTTAAAACATTAAAACCTTCCTCCTTTTGTTCGGAGTAGTTAACTAGTGAATCATCTCCAACGATATAATTGCCCAGTGTGGATGGATAGATGGAAAGTTAAAGATAGCTGTGTAAAGTATTGAAATAAATAAAAACAACGAGCCCCCCTTTCAATGAATAATAATAATAATAATAATAATAATAATAATAATAATAATAATAATAATAATAATAATTTAATCAAGTAACATAATAAAAGAAAAATTTCCATACAAACGATTTACTACATTACTTAAATAAAGCATAGCAAAAATTCACTTTTTAGTTCAACTGATGGTCAGTGACAGAGTTTAATTACAGTGTACGACTTCCATCATGTATTCAAGTGTTGACTTAGTCCAAATCTAATGCTTTGACAATATCACCTGACAATTGTCTTCGCACAACTTGTTTCCCACGTCTACCCACGTGCTTGGTCCTCTTCCGACCCTCGCTATTCTGACATCCCGTAGATGTAGATTTCCCCTTTAACTCATTGGATTCCTTCCGTATTCCTCATACTTTCTCTCCTTCGCAGTACAAAGCTGTCCCTTATATATAGAGCATGTCTCGCGCTAGATAAATACCACTAGACATCTACATCTTAATATAAACTATATTTCTCGTGCTCAGATTTAGGTGGTTTACACTACACAAGTCGGATCTTACGACCTTAATCCCTAACTCCTCCCCGATTCTATGTTGCGGTTGATACACATGACCTTAGCTTAAGTTCATTCGAATTCACGGAATTCACCGTGCCTTCTACAGACAAATATGGCAGTATATGCCAGCATACATTACAACACGACACATTTACATTTGGCTGTTCAATGCAGTTTAATGCTCACATATTTATGGAATAATATCTACTAAATGTAACTCTCCGGACGTAACTTGCGTGAGCAATTAAAAATTGCGAACTCGTATAAATATACACTCGTAATTACTCACACGAGTAAATATCATCCTACACAGAGATTCAATTCATATATCCTAAGAAATATGACACATTCTTATATTAGGGTGAATTCGTGAAATCCCTACGCAATTCTTCATATCGAGTATTCAATTAACATCCGATCCGTCAGTTATTTCAATGAATTGATAATTTAAAAATCAGAGAATTAAATGGTAGAAACTAACATATCACTAGAGTAGTATTAGAAAACCAGGTTTTCAACTCACTTTGTTTTTTTACCCTCCAAACAAGTATAAATTATAGTCCTAAATTATCCCCCACCCCACCCCCTTTTTTGACTCACCCTCCCCCACCTCTTTTTTTACCCCCTACTACTACCTGTAAACAGGTATTTTGTAACCGAACAAAACAACAGGTGTTGGAATGTGATAAGCTCTTTACACAGAGGTGACTAATTTGTTAGAACAGCGCATGTGTGGAATACAATTATTCTAAAGACGGCAAACGAGTTTTACCACAAGATAACAGGATGAAAATTAAACTGTGTGTTAGAACGTTTCAGTTAACAAGGTGGAAATTAAACTAGCATTATAATGAAAATGATATTATTTTAGTTATATTATATCTTAAGTTTAGATAAAATTTTACGTTACTCATATTTTTTTTGATATTTTTTTTCATACTTGCTAACCCTCATTGGTAGAATGTCTGTTAACATATTATCAATAATACGAAATTCACGTAATAAATCATCCATATTATATTTGACTCCTCGTAGGTAAGACCGGATCTGATCAAGTAGTTTCTTGTAAGTTTTAATTGATGTTAAACATCCATGCTTTTTTATCAAAAGTCTTGGTTCTACTTTTTTACACGCCGCTGTAAGTGAAACACCAATACCAGATATAATTAACAAAAAGGGATTTAACGATATCCCACTTGAAATTATACCAGAACTGGTCATTAACAATGGTAGATATGATATTACTCGAAGGATCTTGTTGTAGTATTTATAACATTTTTTAACGCACCAATGTTTTTTGTGAT